TCCCAGAATTCTCCAGCCAGCAGAACAGAGCTGGCTGGAGAATTCTGGGAGTTGAAGTCCACAAGTCTTAAAGTTGCCAAGTTTGGGAACCACTGGCCTACTGGAATGTCTGTTTACTCTCAGTGTGCTAAGTTTGTTTATTTGAATATAAATTAAGCAATGATCTTTCATCAAAGAAACTGAATAGACTATTTCTAAAGCTTTGGAATCTAAGATAGTAACAATACAAAGAAAGTAACAATACAAAGAAACTAGCTATTGAACAAGAAGATTTTATTAAAATTGTGATCCTTTGTATGCTGCTAAGAGAATAATTGTTTGTAACATCTCTTTACACTCAAATTGCTCTTTTTCTGATCTGAATAATGTAGAGAAGTCTTCTTAAACTTCTAACAGCAGGGGACGCAATATATCACAGAAAAGCCAGCATGTCACAAATATAAAACAATATAGTGTAGGTACAGCAAATGTTTTCAGATAACACAGGAAGTGGTATCTTCTAGCAAATTTTTAATGGAGAAATGGTTAAAAACCAAATTTGTGTGAAATGTACTTGATTATAATCAATTTTGAAATATAATAGCTAAGGTTCCACACACTTCCAATATAATTGTTAAGGTTCTGCACTCTTTCAAAATGATTCAGAAGTGCTTCAGACTTTTCAGAAGAAGCGTAGCATCTTTTTGTTAGTGTATATATGTAGCTCAGGATTAAACTATGGAATCCTTGGGGCAATATGAACTTGGTTGCTTGCTTTCAGTCATTTCATTATCCAACTAGATAATATCAGAATATCAGTACTAGAAAGTGGGATCTGCTCCCTGTGTAGATGCAGGAGCTTACTGTATACAGTATATACATAGCTTGCAATAGCAATGAGAAATCATAACAAAAACTCAATCTTACAACTCATAGACTGACTCAACCATACTTTCAGCTGGGAAAAAGCATTCTAGACCAAACTAAATCCCCAAAAGCTATGGAATTCCTGAAAACCTGGCATTCAGACAAATAACCCATTAATATGCAGAGATAAATTATGCTTATACACCATTTAGAAGAGACAGTAAAAATGTTAAGAACAAAACAAAAAGACAAAAAAACCCATCCTTACTAGCAGCCAGCAAATGGAGGACAGTTGGGAAGTTAGCAGATAGTGATGATGTAAACTCGGAACATTGCAACCATCAAAAATAGATGCTAGTTGCCAAGCATCCAAATTTTGATTATGTCCCTCTAGGGATGCTACAAGGGTCCTAAGTGAAAATAAATCGTAAGTTTTTTTTACTTTAATTTTTTTAATTAATTAAATTTAAAATAAACTTCATTAAATAAAACATTAGGTTTAGGTTTATTCGATTTATATGCCGCCCTTCTCCCAAGGACTCAGGGCGGTGTACAACATTAAAAGAAACACATAATACAAAA